TTTTGGAGTCCCTTGTCAACTAGCAAATTTACGCTCAGAATTTGGCTCCGGCAACCAAGCTTCTCTCCAACATGTCAAACAAATACCCAGCATATTTCTCACATGTCATTCTCATAAAGGCTGTTTTTTTATATATATACACCAATGCAGTGTGCGGAACAACACTTTAATACAGCTTATGTAAGACTGGCCACTGGGGATTTAGATTTCAAATTCTTCTGGATCAGTTTTGTAGGAAAAGTGCACTCCCTCTTTGGGAGACAAAACAGCCAGCCAAGTCAATCTGGTCCCTGGGTGGGAACTGAACACTATCACCAACACCCACCCACTCAAAGCCACCCACCTCGAGACGGCTGACAGAAGACAACAGAATATAAAAGAACAGAAAAGAAATTTGCTTTTTAATGATGATAGAGTCTCTGTAGAGAAATGCTTGGGCATGCTACCATTGTATTTTTTCTGCTGTAAAGGAACTGCTCTGATATTTCAAAAGTAAGCTAACTTGCCAGGAGTTAAATGAAAAAACTTATACTGTAGCTACATAAATAACCAACACGAAACCCCCAACCAGTTCAAAATCTGTTTTAAAGAAACCTGTCAGCACTTTAAAATTGTTTAAAATTTGGGGTGTTCAAGGGATTTCATTTACTTTAGATGGAGCCATGCTAGCTTCCACCTCCATTTCCATTTTTTATGCTAAGCTAAACTATGGTGATTATACGACCCAAGTTGACCCGGACCGTCCCATTTTTAAGATCTGTTTTGCAGAGTCCCCTCAAATATCCATAAAACATTAACATGTCCCATTTTTAATCAATCCCTGTCCCAGTTTAAACCCATTAAAATAACACAATAATACAAAATTCTTGCAACACTGATTATATGTCGATCAATGTCATTGTCAAGGCTGTTGCTGTTTTAACCAAAAGAAAAACATCACCAATGCACCACGAGTCAAAGTTCAATACTGTTTTGTCAATCAGTCTCATGGTTGCAGCGAGCCTATCTTACTTACTTGCTGCATAATGACAATAGGCAAGCTTGTCCAAAAGGAAATCAATGTTTTCCAAAGTGTTTTCTCCTTCATTTGAAAATTTCCAGAGAATGAATATTCTGTGATTTGCACAAACTGCAGGTGTCCATTTTTTAGTCACCCATTGTGAAAATGTAGACATACAAAGCCATAATAAAATGAACAACCCAAACGGTGGGTACAGACTGGAAGTAGAACTGTCACGACCTACTTCGGTAAGGAAAACGCCAGTGACCACCAACTTGAACGGGTACCTTCACCTTCTACCTTGTGTGACCAGTACAGGTCACTGACCTGTGGATCGATACATGTGGGTTTGCGACAAAATTCAAGTGTTCCGATTTGGAGTAGTGGAAAATATGGTCACCCAATAAGCATTCTAGTCACCTGGTCCTAACTTCATATACCTCACAGATAAGAGTGTTTTATCTCTTAACTTAATCACTTTAAGGGAGCTAACATATTTTTTCTTAAAATATAACAAAAAAATGAAGCTTGCCTATTAGCCATAATAAAGTAGGTAAAACACAATGATAGGTCATAACACAAAACAATGCCAAACATATGGATTTCTAAGCATTACTACTAAAACTGCAAATAAAAAACAATCTGCAGAAGAAGCTGGCAATAGTTCTTTGACTACTTCTTATTGAAAATTCACAAGAAAATGGGAAATAAAGTTAAGGAAGCCATGGAGACAGAATGAACATGGACTGAACATGTAGCACTAGGTAGAGGTAAAAAATTGGCGAAACGTGTTCCACACACAGAGTGAGTGCTTGGCTGCCCTCAGGGTTCTGGAAATATAATCTTTAGAAACATAGAAAATCGTAACTCTGCTCTGGGTTGTCAGAAGGGGGACTTGGGCCCCAAATCGGCCTGATTGTCTTATTGTGTGCACCCTGCTTTAATGTGAAGCACTGTCATTCATTCATTGTGACTCAAATCTTGTTTACAGAATCTTTGACATTTTGTCAATCTGGCAACAAATCATGTTCACATGTTGTTTGACAGACACACAGAAACAAATCTGCCGTTGAAAGGTTTTTAAGGTGTCAGTTAGAACTCAAGGTTAAAACCATATCTGTCTGGATCTATAATCACATCAACACACCATGTGATCCCTTCTGCAGATTTATTCTTAAACCTCGCTTTTTTAAAGAATGTAAATCTGTCCCTCGGTCTGGCAGGAGTGCATGTGTATGTTTGTGTGTGTCCCAAGCAGTCATGTCAACAGAGCAATCATTCATGTAGCTGAGAGTGTACACCCAAAGGATTAAACTCTGCCGGCAGGTGATGATGGACAAGCCTTTCGGGGAAGTAGTGAGCGATGGTAAGAGGGGAGAGGGAGGGACAGATGAAGTGAAAAAAAATGACTTGAACAGAGGAATTAATAGTTTCTTTTTGTAGGACTCCCCTGCAGTGTCCGCACATGTATTTCTGAGATTAGAACGCAAGGACAATAAAAACACACATGAATGAAATGAGGAAGAATGAAAAAAAGCATTGCTGTGTATGGTGTGTTTCCGCTCCATTGTCACACAGTCTGGGCAGAGAGCCATGGCAGTGCTGTCAATTAGTGTAGAAGAAGAAGGACCCTCTTAATTGCCGTCTCCCTCTTCCTTTTTGGTTCTCCCTCCAGCTTTCTCTCCCTTTCCCTCCCTTTTTTTCTGGGGACAGGTACAGGAAACACTCGGATATATAAACCACCTAGGTCTCGTTAGCGACAATGAAGGGCTCCTCAATATGTGAAGTTCTACCTCTGAGGGCAAATCCAAGTGTGTGTGCATGGGTCTATAGGCTAGAGGTGAAAGGGGCTAAAGGGTAAGGGAGGGCAAAAGGAGGGGGTGTGTTTGTGCTTTGACCTTGGGTCCCCCACTTATGGAGGGAAGCTGGTTATGGAGACCTAAAAGGACATGAGCGCTTTATGAACCGCATCGACCACAAACAACCATGGTATGGTCACAGATTTTCGACCTTTTCTAACATGTTTTGCAGTCATCCATGTGCCATTTTACAATCTACGCAACACCTGCATCTGTCTCTGCAAGCCTGTTGCTTGAACTCATCAAGGGACAGACTAAAAATGTCAAGTCCAGTTAGAAGCGTTCAAAACATGAAAGAAAACATCCTGCCACCCAGCTTCCCAAACACACCCTGTCATTTGTAAGATGTCAGCCTTCCTCTTCGCCCTGTTTGGACAACACACTGCAGAGTAGTGAGCCTTTATTGGCTTTAAAAGATAATGACATGCCTACTGCCTGGCTCAAACCACAGACCCAGGGTCAGGGAGTTCTTCAGACTCCGTTAGGTTCACATTGAGTTTGCGTCTTTGGAAAACTGGTTCCTTTTTGTGGCAAAAAGGACGTAGCAGGATGTTTTCCTACAAAAACATCTGCATTTAAGAATGATGTGGCAATTTAGAAGACTTGGTTATATTTTGATCAAAGTGCTTTAGTTGCATAGGCTTTTCGAGTGTCTAAAAATTTCACTTACAACTATCAAGTGCGTGAATGAATAGCTGCCACCCATGCAGTTGACAAAGCTCTCTCCCACTCTCACCATCAGGGCAGCAAGCTCAAGGCCACATGCCCTTTTTCATTACTCGAAACAGGCCAGCTGTATTGTAACTACAACCAATTTCCTTGCAGTCTATAAAGCTGTCAATCAAAATCATACCGAACAGGGAGTGGAGGTGGGGGGGGGCTGTTGGGGAGGGCTGCATGGCTCCAGACCAGATGTCAGAGTTTTATACTGCAGGACACCATGGAGGGAGGGAGGGAAGGCGGGAGAAGGGAGGTCATGTTTACCTGCAGCTTTGCTTAATAGCGGATACCAGAAATATTTGAACTTGCTTTGAGATGAACAGCATTGCTATAACTTCAACAAAAGGAAAAGAAAGACCAATACATTTTATTAAAACTAATGAAAGAGCCTGACAGAAGTTGTTAATGAATTTTAATTTAGAATTACTCTTCTGAAAGGAGTTACCTAAGAAAAGAGTCTGCTAATATAAATCTACCACAAGCAGCCTGTTAGCTTAGCGCCTAGTCTAAACAGCTTGGAAAGATCTAGCTTTGTAAAGTATCAATGTTCATATTTAAAAATGATTAATCTCAATGTGCAAATATAAGACCTGTTTTTACACGAGGTAATCTCAGGAATCAACAAAATGGATGATGCATTTAAAGAAATGAACTTTGAAAGGTTGACTGATTTTTTTTTTCAAACAGCGCACCGGTGAGCTTTTCTAGCTTCCAGTCTTCATTCTAAACTAGGCTAACAACATGCTGTTAGCTACAATGCAGACACTACTGTTTTTTTTTTTCATCTTAAGGAAACAAGTGTACTTCCCACAAATTCAGTCAGCTCAGGAAAAAAACCACAAATCATTTTCATTTGTAGAAATAGCTACCGCCAGCAGTTAATAGTGTACAAGGTTTCCCTTCAACAGTAATACAGAAGTAGGGATACAAATATTTCTATGCAAATAAACATAGCTGCATTAAAGCAAATTACACATAGCTGGATGGATGTTATATCATCTATTAATGTGGTGAAGTTAACAGTTAACGAATAAGAGAAATGGAAAGAATCATTTAAATGCTGAGAATCAAATAAGAGAAATTCATAAGAAACTGGAGTTAATGGGTGAAGGAAACAGATGAAGTGGAATATAAAATAGAAATAAATGTATTTAAACTAAGAGCGTATTGAATCCCTCCATCTTCTGGGGGATCTTTTTATTTCTTAACATCATTGAATTTTTGACTTTTTTTTTTTTTTTCTGTCCAAAAAGTGATACAATTTGACAACATGCAATGTAAAAAGAAATACCTGCATTAAAGTAATGAAAAAAATAGTATTTTAATTATTATATATATATATATTTCCCAACAATTCAAACCTTCCAATTTAAGTGTGAAACCTCAATGAAGAAAATCAACTCACAAAGAGACAGAAGAAATATTTTTCAGTTTCCATTTATTAAAGTTATGAACAACGAGACAAATAAGTTATAATATTTTTATTTGTTAGAATTCTATCAGTGTTTGAACATTAATATTTAGAGAGCTAGTACAATTTCCTACTTTCATGGCTAGCCTTTGACAAACCCACAGAAACAGCTGTCTCTCTCCGAGGATCCGAACATAATACTGAAGGGGAGGTGTTGATGTTGTCTCACAAGACAGTAAGCAGTGAAAGTGTGCACCTTAAGTTTTTTTTTCTGTTATGGTATATCATTACATATAAACTCTTTAAAAATATACTTCTGTCAAATACCTTGACAACTACTATGTACACTACAAAAATAAATTTTCATATAAATAAATTATATGGCATACATTTATCTTTGTAACTGAAAACAGCATACATCCACGCCAACCGAGACCAAAATGGCAGTCTGGAAGAACCACTGATTTTTTTTCCTTTTAAAATCCTCTAAGAGCTATGATGAGACCTGTAGTGTAAAATGTTATATACTCTTTTTTTTCCTATTTAACATTAGTAAGCACTTTATACAGATCAAACTCCATTAATGTCAAAACATTAAACTGTAATAGTGTTTCAATAGACATAAAAATCCCTGCATTTGTTATCCACTGGCATCACGATAATAATGAAAGAAAACAACAACATATTTTATATTACAAAAATATAAATATCGCAATTGAACGTTGAAACAAAAAACAAACAAAAGAACATTTAAAATGAATAAAATAGTTGCCAGCTATGATTCTCTCCGCTACTGCCAATGTGACATTGGGAGAAACGAACAAACAAACAAACAAAACAAGCTATTTCATGCAAGCAGCTGACATAAAACGGTGGACAGGGGGAGGAAACTGCAAAGACTTCTGGGAAGAGCTACGCGTTTAGAGGGAGCTGGAGAGTAAAAGAAGAGGAAACTGAGGTGTGGATGCAGTGAGGGGCTCAGGGATCTGGAACTGGGGATCGTATGTATGCTGACTGAGACCCACATGCAGACATAAACTGGCCATTGCTTTTAAAGAGGGAGGTGGCAGAGTAAACTATGACCCCTGAGGCTCAGGTCTGTGCCATTTGGCACATGAAGGGAGGGGTTGTCCAATTAGTGTCATGGCGTTATGCTGTGGATTTTTATTAGCTGAGGTCAGTGGGGGGGCGGCTGAGACCAAAAGGAGGCCAGTTGTCTTTTCTGTCACTTAAAGAGAGCTGAGACAGAGAAAGACGATGGACTGATGGACTTCAGCAAACACAGAAATGTTTATACACACATATATATGGAAGGCATACACAGAGCACATCGTCAGGCCATATAGGGCTTAGCCCTTAGCAGGCTGCGTGAGCTAGCTTATTGTTTGAACAGAAATAAAGAGCTACTTGAGGAGAGATATTTCTGTGAATGAAGTTTAAATGCAGTCAAGTGCCATGTTGGATCGGGTTACAGTATAAAGTCTGAGATATAGCTTATCCACTAAACACAACACTTAGGGTACAGAGTTAGTGCCCCGTGTTGACCCTGTTTCAGAAGCAGTAACGTGAATGCCCCTGTGATGACAGAGTGAGTTTTTGAGGTGGGTTTACTGACTGTATGCCAGAGAACCTGTATGGAGCCTGCTAGGGTAAACAATACATAACCTCTTACAGTAAAATACAACCAGAGAGCAGCCTAACAGACAGTGATACAAAGCTGGGAGTAGGAACATGTTCCAATGCAGAGGCAAAACTAAAAGAACAAAACAAACAACCAAAAAAAAAAAAAAAAAAAACAGCTTTAAAATTTCTTCATTTCTGCTCGTCTTAAATAGCACGCATAGCGTGTCAAGTTAAACAGTAATTGTTTCATAACTACCACAGGTTTGTGATAAAAAATTAATAGTTTAACATGCGTACCTTTATACAATAGTAAACAAACATACATGAACACATACACGCACATACACGCATATATACCATAGCCCTGTTTGATAATTCTAACATTCCCCCTCCCTCATGTTGAAGTGAGGGTGTTATTGTTAGTCTGTTCTCAGGATGTATCTGATGTATAAGCCAGAAAATAAAGGGGCTGTTTCACACCGCACAGCACAACACTCACCTGCTACACACGCACACACATACACACACGCACATATATGAAGACAGATCACTTCTTTTGTTTAAAAGAGACATTTGCATAGAGTTATAAATGTATATTATTTAAAAAATATATTTTGAGCAGCAACAGTGAATGCTGACAGGTATGTTTGTCTAGATGAAGCTTCCTAATGGCACAGATCCACAGATGAGTGAACAGTAATCAGAGATCTATCTCTCCATGTCATACACACCAAAACACACACACACACACACACACACACACACGCACGCACGTGCACACCATATAAAATGGCAGCCCCAGTCTGTTAACATGAGGAGTTGTACATCTCCAAACATTATTACTACTTTTTGTTCATATTTACATATGTATACATCTTTTAAATATAGATAGAAATATCTAAGACAATAGTCCACTGGATTACAGTAAAAATGAGCACCATGACGGCAACACTGGAGAGTTATTTCTCTGCCGGGATTAGGCCAGGCTGGGCTATGCTGGGCTGGGCTGTGCCAGGCCAGGTCTTTGGCCGGTGTAATTCGGTTCTCCACAACTGGAAAAAAAAAAAAAAGAAATACTGTTGTCAGTAATGATTGATGAGACAGGCCTAAAAAAAAAAAGTGCAGTTACACTCCTGATAGATCTACTCAAGTCATTAAAAGCTCACCTCAGCTCGCCCGCCTGCTACTGTTGCTCTCAGCTGCCTCAAACTCCAAATCTTGAAGCTCCATGGCCTCCACCTGGACCCCCCTGACCCCTGTGTGGGTGTCCAGCGGCACGTGTGGGTCCTGGAAGACAGTCTCCGGCTCCTTCGGCCCTGATGAGCAGTAACTGTCCGTTGCAGTGTATCCTGGATAAGAAGAAGTGGGGGGGCTCTGGTTGGATAAAGGGGGCGGGTGGACGGCAACAGTGACGGAGGCTGACGCCGTTACCGTGGTGATGGGTTGGCAGTATGGGGTGGGGTTAGGGTGGTGGTGTGGGTGGTGGTGATTAGGCTGTGGGTTGTGGGGTAGCGCGGGCTCTATGGCCTGCTGAGTGTTCTCTATGGCTGTGAGCGCCATGATGGCCCCCAGCCTCAGTAGCAGTTTCAAAAGCGTCCATGCGCGGGCGGGCTGGGGGCGGGGCTTGCCAGTGCAGCTGGCTCTTGGGGCCCCTGCTGCTGGTACGCTGAGTAGCCCTGGACCGGGTCCCAGAATCACAACCCTGAGAGGACACAGTCTGTAGAACAATTAATTTTATTTTTTAATTCAGAAACCAGAAAAACTGGAATAAGAGAATCATAGACGCAACACGGCGGAGGGTATTTTCTTACCGAAGAATAGTTTGGAGGTTCGGGCTGTCTGGCTGAGCGTCTGTGCCCTGCTCCTGCTCTTCTCTCCTCTTCTGTCCTGGCTGCTCTGCCCCTGCTGGCCTGGAGGTGGTACTGCTGCTCCTCTGCTCGAGTTTGTCCTCTGTGTGAGGAGGGCAGGTTGTAGTTCTGCAGCTCGTGGCTGATGCCAGACACTGTGGTGTTAGAACTGTACTCAGAGTCTGAAGAGTCTGAAGCTGCGCCCGAGGTGGTTGCGGTCCCGGTAGTGTGGTGAGGACGGACGGAGAAGCGGACCACGGGAGGTGGGGCCTCTGGGGACGGGGTGGGTAACCTGCTGCGACCATCGACTGGTGACACCTGCGAGGTAAGAATAGAAAACGTGAGGAGGATTCAGTGAACTGCTTCAAGTGCTCAAAAGAAAAAAGTAATTCTTGTATCACCAGCTAATGATGCACCCTTGCATGATACATCACTGCCTTTTCTATTTAAACCCTCTTGTAGCTTTATGGGATCTTACCTCAGGATAGGGTCCAAAGTACGACAGTAATACTGGAAGAAGTACCAATCCATTCAGTACTCCAAGAACTGTAAGGATGGCCAACACTGCAAAGAAATACCTGAAAACAGCACAGGTACACACACAGACTTAGTTAGAGGGAATACACTTTAATGTCAGAGATAATCAACACAACTGGTCAGGATAAGAACATTGCATTCGTAAATTTACGTAATGTTTTACCCCTGTTTCGTAAAAAATGTCAAACCTCAAAAAAAAGGACAATTCATGACTAGGACCAAAATAGCTGAACAAAACTAAGAAAAGAAAAAAACAGTCGCTGAGACCACCGCAGAGAGACGAGAAGAGAAACAGAGTAGACGTAAAAACAAAGAAAATACCTGCGCAAACCACAGAGGTTTAGACATGGGTAGACATGTGCAAGATCAACCATAACACATGCCCAAAAGAATACTTCCACAAAGATGCCTGGCCACTCCCCAAACACACACTTATACACACACACACACACACACACACACACACAAACACACACACACACAAACCCCCCACAGACAGGCAGGCATGCACTGTGGTTTCGAGGAGCAAAACAGAAATGTACCTTATGTGATTCTAAGTCCTGCCAAAGAGAGTTAGTCTTTAAGAAGCCGCAGAGAGAAAAGAAAGGGGAAGCATAATTAGCCGGAGCTGGTTAATTCAAAGGCACGGGAGGAAAGGAAAGAAAAAAGAAGGGGAATGAGGGGGGGGGGGCAGTTATTGGGGCGAGGGTACTCTCTCTTGGGTGTGTGGTGTATAAGCAAACATGGAGAAAACAAAGCAGTGAGGAATGTGAAGGAAGGAGGGGGAGAGAGGGGGTAAGAAAGGGTAAAAAAAAAAAAAAAAGGGGTGGATGAGAGGAGAGGCGGGTGAGGGGAACATTAGGGGGTGGGGGGGGGGGGGGGACACAAGAGGACAGGGGCCTCTCTCTCCTCTCCGGCTCTAAAAAGGAGAGAGGGAGAGGCAAACAAATGAAGTGAAGGGTATAGAATTTAAACAATTTAGTCTAGGAAGAAGAGAAGGGGACCCTCTGAGCGCCACCCCTCCTAGCTCGCTCCCTCTCTCTTTTATTTCTTTCTCTCTCTTCTCTGCCTCACTTCTCGCTCCCTTCCTTCCAGCTAAGCCCCTGTGAAATTCCCGGCCACTCCACAATCCCCTCGGTCTAATTAAATCTCCAATGTATCAGGTAAGACCCCCCAATCTCCACTCCAAATCCCCCTCGCTCGCTCTCTCTCTCTCACCAATCCAGCTCTCTTCATTAGGGGAAGGCTTTCCTCCTCATTTGGTTCACTGCAGTGGACGCTCTCAGGTGCCCTTTGCCTGACTGTACACTGTGCTGTGTGTGTGTGTGTGTGTGTGTGTGTGTGTGTGTGTGTGTGTGTGTGTGTGTGTGTGGGGGGGTAACTGAGGTGTAGATTTGCTGGTATGCTGTGCAGCTGGGCCGAGAATTTAATGCACATTCATAAATAATCTGTGTTAGTTGTGTGGCCTCAATGTGACAATACTGGTTCACTGTTTCTGACAATGGAACTGAACGGAAACAGACTCAATATTTTAAAACGCCCATGTTTTTGATTGCGAACAACATGCAACAATGAGATCAGTCAAGTCGTTTTTTTTGTTCCTATCCAGTGTTGTTGGTACACTGACGTGAGGTGTGGACATGACCACATGCTGTGATAGACCCACTGTCACAAGATGAGTCCATTTCAGGATGCTGGAAATAATCCCTCATTCAAAATGACAGGAAAGTGAATGCACCATCACTTTTTATCTCCCCCTAAAAATGAATTCACACATGCAGTTTAAGATTGTATTACCCCCTTTATACTGTAAGGACCTGTGTTTGTTCACTTTTTATTAAAATGAGCAAGAAGGACTGTAATCTGAAAGTAGTCTACTTGAAACCTATTACTACAAACATGTGAGTTTTTGACCAATAGGAATACAGAGGGACAAAAATACATCATTGATCACAGATATGGGAACTGATCAAGTGAATCTTTAATAGAAATGAAAAAAATGCCTTTCCTTTCTTCATGTCTCCATCACATGAATGTAATATAGAAAGATCAAAGGGATGAACAAAATCAGATATGAAAGGAAGAAATCATACAGACACCTAGTACGAAGCCCTCTGCCTTCCAGAAGATTTCTTTAAAAATGACAGGATAGCCTAGACCTGAAATGTTCCAAAGTTGACTTGATATCAAAGCTACATGAACGTGGAAGAGAACTGTGGCTGAGCAGAAAAGAGCATGAAGCTGCTTAATTACATGCACAACAAAAGCATCGCCAGTGGCTCACCGGTAGCGGGATATAAACTTTATCACCTCAACCAACTCGAGCAATTCCTGCTGAGTTTGCACATTAGCTCACCACAGCTTCAGGTGGGAATTTCACTAAGGGGGGGCTAGCAGGAAAAGAAGTCTGGATCATGAAAAAATCTCCACTGTTTGAGTTCACACATGTAGCATCACCCCCAAAAAGATTTGGGACATTTTCAAGAAGTTTTGTGCATGTGTGAATACAGCACAACATGCTCTTAGGAGCTAGGTCCACGAAGCCACATGCGCACACACAGACTCTTCTAACACAGTCTAACCACACGTCCTTAGTCTACTTTTATTAGATTATCAAAACGCCTTCTGAAACTGAAATAACCGTGTCATCACTGTGGTCAAAACACACCAGGTGGGGTTATAACGGCACGTCACCTTTGGGACACACGTACGAGCACAACACATGGACGCGTGGAGCCCACATACCAGGCTGAGAATCCCGCTGGGCTGTTTGGAGTGAAAACATTCACAGGGCTGACGGCGGGGGAAAGTCAGGGAAACATTTCTTTCAGCGCAAGCAGAAAAATACGAGCCGGGGCCTGTTGTTATTGCGCCGTCTTGGGCCGCAGCTTTGTTTGCTCAGACAACAGCAGAACCTTTAAATGGAGGCCCGAGACTGAGCCAGAAACCAGAGCACACCACTGGAGGTGCGGAGAGAAGGTCTTTAGGCCTCCCTGTGTTTGTGTGTGTGTGTGTGTGTGTGTGTGAGTGAGCGTGTCTGTTTGTGTGTGTGTCTCTGTGAGTGTGTTGCTGTGTGTTCTCTCACTGGAAGGCACGCCATCATTGACCCCCATGATTACAGGGTCAGGGTGCAGGGGTGTGTGTGTGTGTGTGTGTGTGTGTGTGTGTTAGGGGGACTATGTGTGATAGTGTGGTTGTGCACGCATGAGCGCAGACTTTTGCACATGACAGAGTGTGCGTGCTCACCGATCACATGGACTTGCGTGCTCCCTTTTCTTAAAGGAGCAGGTCAGCTAAATCACACCGCTACCTCATCTATTTTAAATTATTCACTGAGCTCACTGGAAACTTCTCATAACACCAAAGGCTTGAGAATGCACAGAATCATTCTTTTACTCCCTTGTAGAGCAACTACGCGCCGCTTTTCAGTCTGACGCTCATAAGAGTGCGCAGATTCAAAAGGACAAGACGCAGAGCTCCCCACAGAGTCCGCTTTAATTTCCACTTCTCCTGTCTTTCTACGATTGTCCTTCTTGCCCTGCCACCTGGATACTCCTTCCCATGCTTGTAAACGTCTAGCGAGGGCAGTTAAACTAGCTGAAAGAGAAGACTTTTCTGCTCTCTCTTTCTTCCCCCTCACTCTCTTTCACTTTGTACCCTCTACTTCCCTCCTCTTTGTTCTCCTGACCTTCAACTTTCCATCCTTCCTCTGGTTCCCCCCCCCCCGCCCCAACCCCTAAAAATGTCCGGCATGAGAAACACAGAGGCAGAGGAGAGAGACAGATGAAAGAAAATACATAACGGATAGGAGGGTGGAGAGAGAAAAGGGTTCTTGTTTGTGAAGATTCTACTCCGGAGAAATGTGCGGAAAGGGGATGAGGTTTACAGGGAGGGAACACGAGAGGGAGATGTGGGTGGAAGACGAGAGAGAGCTTTCATGCATGGCTGGTGTCTCAGGTAGATTCCTGTGTGACATACAGGTTGAGGCATGGTCTCAACGGTCCACTGACACCGCAAAGAAACCATAGCTTAACCTCTGCTAGAAGTGCAGTCCTGTGAGCTTTTGGAGTTAACTAGAGGGATGTGATTTGATTTTTTTTTTTTTTTTAACTCACCTGACGATAAAGTCGAACTCAGACCCAGCAAGCATGAGGACGCCTAGTAATGTGGAAAAGGCTCCATCGAGCACCGGAGCAAACATGTGCTCCAACGCCAGCACGGCCCGCTTGTGACGATCCCCTATGGCTGTCAGGAACGCCTACAACACACACACACACACAGAAATAGTTAATGTCTCTTTTTTAAGGGGATTTGTGACTACAAGACCTTTCACGATATATCAGTCATCATTATCTGGAGATGAATTCTTGCGCCAACAGGCCAGATTATTTCTGGGGTTTGTGCGCCTACCAGGGCAACATGGACGGTGAACTCCACTCCAATGCCGACGGAGGCGATGAGGATGACCACAGGCACGGCGCTCAGCTTGATTCCCATCAGCCCCATGAAGCCAAACAGCTCCACAGTCATGAGAGAAAGCACCAATACCTGAGGGAGGAGAAGGAGCGTTAGTTCAAATATGTGAAGAATTGTTTTTATGTGTTTTTTCCCCAATAAGGGGCCGGACAGAAAAAGGGGCAGGTTCAGGCTGAGTAAAGTCACATCCAGGATCAGGAGTGGGACAAAATATCAGTACGGCAAAATACTGAACTCTCGTGAGATACTTTCATCTTATTGTATCTGTATAGCCTTTGCCTAAAAAAAAGGAGATATAACTGTAATTCTAATATTATATCTCTTTTTTTTCTAATAAGAGGGTTACGTTGATTTGTATGAACAAATCTCTACAATCACTTTTTGTCCTCAAATACTCTGAAACTTGGGCTTGAAGTGGTCTGTGATGGTTTTTCATGTCACTAATGTGTCTACATACAATACAGTGCATCCAAAGTGTAAAGAAATGAACAATAAAGCTTGTATTATAAAACATGTTTCCCAGGTGACTGATCTAAAAACATAACAATGTGCTCTACACTTGACTTGAAATGTGCACAAGACGGATCAGAGAAATAATACCTGAGGATATGTGGATATGTGTCAGAATCCCTATTTTACTGCTGTGTTAAGTGGGAACCATCAATCTGGATGGAACATGTGTGTCTTGGTGTGTGTGTGTGTGTGTGTGTGTGTGTGTGTGTGTGTGTGTGTGTGTGTGTGTGTGTGTGTGTGTGTGAGGGTTTGCACAGTGAGACAGGAGCTGAGAGTAAATGCCATTATCAGCTGACAGGTGTCAGGTTACATGGGGCCCAAAATCCTTTGAAGACGGCTGAGGTGGGCAGGGGGAATGTGTATGTGTTCATATGCAATGTACAGAGTGTGTGTGTGTGTGTGTGTGTGTGTGTGTGTGTGTGTGTGTGTGTGTCAAAGAGGGAGTAATTGTGCATGCTGTCTGTCTCTGTTAAGCTTTTACACAAGAGCATCTCGGGTGACGTGATTAAAATTGGAAGGATGAATTGACGAAACAGTTTTCAGGGAATTAAACTAAAATTGAAGTCAAACTTTTGAGATCCTTGTTTTTCAGGAAGGCAAATTTCAAAGTGTCAAACTATTATTTCTCCTTTAAGTTGTTGTTTGTTCCACAGTTGAACAAAATACCAACAGGAATAACGGATAGCAAGCAACACCAGATCACAAATGACTACGCTCTGAACAACAGTCAACATCAAGTGTATTAGAAACATCTTTATAATTCCAAACAAGGGACACAAGGTTTAATAAGTCCTCTATGTGGTTAAGATGGATTTCAGTGCAAATAGCTGAGCGGGTTTGAAAGGGCTTAAGGTTGAAGGTTTGACATTTTAGGGCTGGCGGTGGTCTAGTCTTGGACAGAACGAGCGGTTAAACTTGACGCCTCTCCATAACTTGTCTTTTGATCTTGCTAGTAAAGCCTGGAGGACGAACACGGGGTTCCCCTCCTCCTCTGTTTAAGAGCTCTGGTGGCCTGGCCACTGCCTGTCGTAAAATACAACCCACCAGAGAGAAAAACCAGAGCACTTAGTGGATGAGTTTCTGTGTGAATTATGTACCTGTGTGTTTACATATTCATGCTGTATGTGCGCAAGCATATACATATCTGCTTAAGAGTGTGTGTAGAGTGTGCGTCTGTGTGTGTTTGTGTGAATGTGTGTATCCTGAGAAACCGCTCTTTTGAGAGGAATGGAAGAGGAGGAGTGTGGAAGATGGAAATAAAATCAAACTTTTTTTTTTATGGGTTTGGAGTGGGAGAGCAAGTTGCCTGGGCAACTATGTGTCCTCTCCCCATTTATTTCAGCATTGATGTCTGGGAGTGTTGGACTAGACTAAACAGACTGGGCCTGACAAAACAGCTTAAGATAAACACTGGTGACTGGGGCTACAATAACACACAGCAGCCCCCCTCTCTGTTCTCTGACTCTCTTTTCTCTGAGACGCCTTGTGGACCACACAGAAAAAGCAACAGGAAATAAGAAGAGGAGAGAAGGGAAAGAACTATGTTATGATTAAAATATCCACATGTTGTTTTTTCTGCTTTTCTTTGTTATTTGGATGATTGCAGGTGTATTACACATATAAACACATATAGGTCTGTTTCTCTTGACATTATCACCCCTATATATGCCGTACTGTGTCTGTTTGTTTTTTTACTCCAATACTCACTATGATGCCAGCGGTCCACGGGTTGAGCAGGAAGAGGGCACAGACCAGGAAGGTGCAGGCGAGCACGACACTGATGGACAGCAGGAGCCAGTGGCGCAGACTAACATACTGTTCCCAGAAGAGGAAAGGGTAGCCGTTTGGGTAGGAGGGCAATCCTTGTCGGCTGTAGTTGCTGCAGATAGCCCGCACACTCTCGATGGCCTCCACAAACTGCGGCGTCTCCCGGAGCCCGTTGAGGTAGAAGGGGAACTGTGCGTATTCGATGGGCTCAGCTGCCGGGACTGGAGGGAGAGACAATGAAAGAAAAGTTTAATATGTGCAAAGTGGGGGGCGGGGGGGTGAAAGACAATTCATGTCTAGATGAAGCTGTAGTGTCTACATTATTATCTTTATACGAGCAGAGGCAGCGACTGATAAATGATTCGCACTTTGAGGTCATGACAGCAGCCTGCAAGATGAAAACATTTGAATTCAGAGAAACAGATTGCAAGAAAGGAACAACGTGGAGTTAATCAGATACATTGACAAAGGCAACGGTGACATCTGCAGATGATATTTGTCTGCTCTGATTAACTAACATTAGGCTCTGATCATTTCGCCTATCTGCAGAAATCATTTTAGCCTCTCCAGCCAAACCACCAATATCAAGGCACTGCCTCACTAATTCAACTTTGCTCCAAGACCGGCTACATCTGTGCTCGAGAGCGTGTGCGTGCATGTGTGTCTCTGTGTGTGTGTGTGTGTGTGTGTGTGTGTGTGTGTGTGTGTGTGTGGTAAGGGGTGGGCGGAGCAGTGTGAAACAGAGCTCCATTGACTCCAGCCCAGCCAGCCTGTGGCCCAGCCTGCCTAATGAGGGCCTATCAGTTCCAGACACAGCAGAGTGTCAGAGCTAACGTTGATTCACGGTAATTACAATGTCAGAATCACCGCCATTACCACACCCTAAACTTAGCAACTGCCATATAAAGCATAATATAGATTCATAAACACGCTTACCTGCCTGTCACTATGCTATGAAGTCACTTTTGCTGCTGACAAAACAGTGTTTTCATTTAGTTTTCAGCCTTCTAAGTAATTAACAACACATTGATGCACATGGTGGATCTAAACATTTCCAGCTCCATCATCTTAAACATGACATCCTCTAGCTTTACGTGTATATATACAGGAGCACTTGCTAACATGGTCGGCCCATTACAATCTCAACTATAAATTTCCATTAGAACACAAGTTGGCTTTTGGCCAACACGGATCTGCTCCGGGGGGCTCCTGCACAGCCAAGCACTTCACGCTGCTTATCCAATCATATTCCCTCCCCCTCCATAAAGGACTTCCTGCTTGTTATCCAATTGTGCTTCCCACCCAGACCCAAGTCGCTTCTCGTTATCCAATCATTTTCCTCCCCCGTGGAGCACTTCCGGACTTGTACCAAATCACAGGCTGGAATCAAACAACAACATGACTGTACTTTGTATGTTAGTAACAGTCTGTGTGTGTGGGGTAGGGAAACGAGAACAGGGTGTGTGTAGTGTTTGGGGTCACTGGGTTTTAATAATGTGTGTGTGTGTGTGTGTGTGTGTGTGTGTGTGTGTGTGTGTGTGTGTGTGTGTGTGTGTGTGTGTGTGTGTGTGTGTGTGTGTGTGTGTGTGTGTGTGCGTGTAATGCAAGGGCCCCATGGTAGCCAGGATTATAGCATTCACCACAGGCACCATTAGAAGAACCACAGTGAGCTGTGTTTTGGTCCTCAGCCTTGCAACCTGAGCTCGCACACACACTAATGTGCGCACTCAGACACACACACACACACACACACACACACACACACACACACACACACACACACACACACACACACACACACACACACACACACACACACACACACACACACACACACACCGCTGCGGTACAGTAAAGTCTACTACCTCACTTAAAGCTAAGAGGCAGACGAGGAGCAATAACTCAGACCACAAGAGGTAAACACTGCTCACATGCAGCAGATGTCTTGTGGAGCCCAGACCAATGAGCCCCACAAAAAATTGGCTTAAAATTTCAGTATGAAAAGTTTCACTTAGTAAATGCAATTAGTTCAAATGTACCGTGTACCAGGTAAGAACTTCCACAAACTTAGCTTCAATTGTTGGAACAAATGATATGAATTCCTTCCTTGTGTTGCAGAAAAAAAACGGCATTCCATTACACTTTAAGGCTTCCTTTTAATTTGAGCACATTTTCTGGACATGTTGCATGCTGACTTACTGCTGAGGCGTGTCTCGGGCATAGAGTCGGTACGGTCATGGAGCCACTCAGGAGGGTGTGGGCGGATGTTGGCCTGCGAGGCGGCGTAGGCCACAGGATCATTGCTGACCCAGGCGGTTAGGTAGATGTAGAAAGCCCCAGGGTTGATGATGCCGTCTGCGTCCACAAGCCTCTGACGAGTCAGCTACAAAACAAAGAAAAAAGGCGAGTTAATGATGGAACCATGTTAACTAATGCAGACAGCTCTGGAAACATTAAGAGACCACTCCAAATGTGTCTTAAATCCGTACTATACACCCATGGAAGCCATTCTCTTTCAATGTCTGTTGAATCTTAACACGGCTACACCTGGTGATCATTTGACAAGCCATTGAACAAAGCCAAGAACCAACAGCGATGTGAAAGACTGGTGGAGGGTAAAGTATACATAAAAAAAACCCACCAAAAAACACCAAAAAAGGTATTGTGGAAATGGAACGTGTTTAACTAAAACTTCCTTCAGGTGAGGCGACCACAGACATGCTTATTTATACACATGCATGATTGCAGGAGAACGGAGCAGCTTTCAAAATAAGAGTCAAATATTAGTCCCTCTCTCTCTCTCTCTCTCTCTCTCTCTTTCCGACCAAAGAAACATCAACAAGTAAAACAGTGGTCTTCTTTCTGAAAATTCCCGTATTCCTCATCACAGCTTCCCAGAATTATCATGCCACATTAAAACATGGAAAATGTCGAATCAGCTTCTCCCTTTACATACAGCAGATATTGGCCGGCCAACTTCATGGCCCAACGTCCTGACCACTCTGAATATATTTAAGAAGAAAGCCTGCAGCCCTTCTCTGTCGGGAAGCAGCTGCTGAGGAGGATGTGCCAAGTCTAAGTAACGTTAATGGTGGGATACATTAACATATATTAATAGTAGTTGTATGAGACGAGCTCTAATCTGACAAGTTGGTGACTGTATTGCTGCTTAAATGCCAAGACCTTATTATGTCGTCTTAACTTTTTTGACAGCCTTATTGGCAACATTAACGGATCCCGGTCGGCCACTTTGGTACATTTGAATACAGCCTGTCTGTTAGATTAAAGGGAAGTTGTCATGACCTCAGTGTCACATGTGACAACTTTTGTGATTCTTTTACGTTAACCAACTGCTGCCATTTGTAGGTTATACGTTGAGTGTACTCAGTGTTCCAGTCACATATCTGCAAAACAAATGACATTCTTCTTATGCTGCAATTGTTTTAATTGCTGAAATAAATTAGAAATATTCCTGTGTACAATCAGCATGTGTTGCTTCTCAATGAAAGCATGGTGGAACGCTGATGCTAGCATTTAGCACTGCTGTTTCTCAAAGAGATGCTTCCATTGCTGTAAACGCTATTTATGCAAACAACCAATGTCAGACATAAACTAGCATAAGCATATCTTACCAGTAAATAAATATGCCAACTACTTCGATAACGGCACCTTAGCTCTAATTTTCTTACACTGCAGTGACTTTCAGTAACTCTTAGTTAAAATGAGGAACTGGTTAAAAAAAAAAAAAAAGCGGTAACTCTTTGTTAGCCTGTAGCCAAACTTCTGAAATCAATTTCTCAATTGCATTTTTTGAGTCTGTGACTCATTCCCATGAGCATCGTTTGTTGTGACTGCTGGTCAGTAGGTAGAAAAGAATGGCTGTCTCTCAGTGTGGAAACAGAAGAGTGTAGCCTAGCATTGCTGCCTCCTGAGAGGTAAAACCATTACTGTGCGCTGCCCTGCCACTCTCCCTTCAAGGAGCCATAAATCCCTCCTTCATAGAGGCTGCCTGGGAGAGTTCTAGGGGTGAGGTCGGACTCACAGGGTTAGGTGGATGAAGAAAGGGTTAGGTTTTTTTTTTTTTTCTGTGAAGGGGTGGAGGGGGGGGCGGTGGGGGTGGGGAGAAAAAAATTGCTTGAGTTAGCGTAACAATAAAAAAATTGGCTGGAGTCCCTGAGCGCGTCTGTGTGCAGTTAACCTGGTTGTTAACACTGAAGGAAATGCCACCCAGCAAATGGAGTAGAGCTATAAAAATAACACAACATCTGTACAAATGTTGCTCACACTTGCTTCTCCTGACCCCTACGGGTACCCAGAAGGCCTGGCGCCATAGACGGACCCTGCCCTGAGAAGAAAAGGGCCCTTGATAGCATTAGCATGACTCTCTAGCACTTTCAAACATCCCCCCCTCCTCCTTTTCTCCACACCAGCCTCCTTCTGTATTCATTCTCCAAAGCTTTATCTTTTTTTTTCTCTTATTTTCAAACCCTGCATACACACACACACAACAAATACACACTCACACAGACAACTAGCCACCATATGACTCCCAGGCAGGGCCATAAGGAACGAATGGTCGCCCAGCACCGAGAGAAATGTTAACAGCAACAGATCAAAGGCAGAACACCTCTGCACAGATCCATGGAGTGGCATATCAAAATAAAACATCTAGCGCTGCAATTTGCCAGGGCTGGAAAAAGATCTGGTCCTCATTTTGAGGCACAAAAAAACAGCTACTGCTGGAGGTGCACGCACAAAAGACACAAAAGCAGAACACACACTCAAAACATACAAATGCACACACAGCGCTGCCTCAAAGAAACCACGTGTTTGAGCTCCTCTCACTGAAAGAGGACACAGCAGTGGAGCACAGAGGGAGGGAAAGGAAGGGAGGAGAGAGAAAGAGAGAGCAGGAGTAGTAGTGGAGCAGGAGAGACTGAGGGGGCAAGAAAGAGAGCCGGATTCCAGAGGATCTGGATTGAATTTAACAGCGGGATACGCAACAACTGTATGTCTTCAAGCTGTCACGGGAAGCCCAAGCATCTCTGCTGGCGGCCCCCCACGCCTCACGGCAAATACCCTTCCCTCACAGGCACAGGAAATGATGTCACAGGGCCGCACACCAGGCTTACCTCTGCTTCCTGCTGGCTTGAGGAAAAGGATGGGAAGAATGCTATGTTGCAATGGGCCTCAACGGATAAGAGAAAGTGAAAAACAAAGAGCTAAAAGAGGAGGGGAAATGTAGAAATACACTACTTGGAAATTGGCTCGCATGTTAATTACATAAATAAACAAAAGACGCAGCTTAGCTTCTTGTAAAAGGTAATTATCCTTGAGGAAAATTAACTCAATTGTGTTTCGGATTTGCAGAAAAAATTGGCCAAGAATTTCAGATTTTTAATCTCCAGTTCCTTATCGTCTGTTTTCACCATCTCCTGCCAAAAAGTGGTGGTACTAAAAACAACATGTAATGCCCTATAAAACATTTACTCAACCCGAATATGCCCCCTCATTTCCCCCTGCTTCTCAATTCATTACAAGCTGTTTGGCATATTTCTGCGAGGAAAGAAAAACTTGATTTTGAAATTACACCATGTTGTTTGGATAAACTGCTTTTTTAGAACTTAGCTCCTCGCCTGATTGGCTTGTGTCGTTGTTGTTTGGATACTGAACACCACCACAGTTCAACTCTGGAAACAACACTCCATTCAACAGCTGAGCTGGAGTTTTCCAGGTGATTTAGATATCTACATTTGATGTTTACTCACTATAATTTAAACAGCTCAACCGATCACTGCACAGGGAGAATCATTAAAAACACAATTATAACTATGTCCTGATTATATATCGCCATTTTTCTTCACAGAGATGCCAACAATCTCAATTTATCAGATGTCAGAATAGGCAACAAATGTGCAAAGATGTCTTCATATTGGTTATTCATACATTTCTTTCTGCAGTTTCAGTTCATTCTGACTTTGTCTTTGCGCTATTAATACCACAAAAAGTGTCCAGCATCACTGACAATGCACCAATCTAAAAGTCTAAGGGGAAGTCCTCTCACTGTCAAAGCCCTGCATTCATTCACATCACACGACAGCAGAACTACCAAAAAGGGACCAAATGGTTTAAATGAAGAGTTAATAGGTTTTTCAGAGGTCGTGTGCAGCCCCAGTGAGAGCTTTAAATTCCTGAGCTCGGTAAAGTCATCACAGAATGAAGATGGAGAAGGACACAGAGACGGAGAAAGAGAACAGAGATTTTTATGGTATGCAGGACACTGCCCCAATTAAACTATTCAGTCTGTCAATCTGAAATTAAAGCACCTTTATCTCCAGGAACAACAGATTTAGGGGTCATTTTAGAACACACCAGGTTGAAGTTGATGGGCTTTTCCCTGCGTCCTGTCTGCACCAAAAGCTTGTACGCCAGGACGCCATCATCGGAGCCGTTCCTGTAGCTGTTGAGAGTGATGCGGCCGGCCTCCCAGTCCTTGTCGAAAGCCTGCTGGAGACCTGCAGGAAACCACAACAAGGCGGACCGGTTAGGTTTTAAAAGCTTTCATGCCCTGTTATCTTCATTCCTCCTCTGCATTACACTTAAGGAAAAAGAGCCCAGTTCACGAGTAGAACACAACAAAACACAGCCGTGCAACCTAACACTCACCCTGTAATAAGCATGATTGATTTAATATGATAACTTCTTCCATTCTCAACCACCAAACGAGGCTTCAAAAAGCTTCAAAAGTCTGCTGCTTTTGATTCAAAGCGATCATTAGGGAATATATCAGTAACATGTGTCTCCCTTTTTCTATACTACTCTCTAATCCATATGTGTATGGACCCACACACACACACACACACACACACACACACACTATTGGCTCTCCCTCACAGCCCATGCTGTCGTCCGTCTGTGGAAGATGTTGTTTTGGGTCTCGTTCCTTGGCCTGTCTGGCTCCAATTTGTCCTACCATTGCAGAGAGCAATATCAGACACAGTTTTCTCTCTCTCTCACTCTCTGTCTCACTCACCCACACACTCTCTGTGTGGTTTCCAGACGGCACACACGCACACACACACACACACACACACACACACACACACACAAAATGTGTTTCTTGGTTAAAGGCAAGACAATGAGTGTGATTTCATGGATGGAAGCGATTCCATTTTTATGGAAGTATCATTTATCAGTGGCACATCACATAAACAGCTAAGCATCCTATTATGAATCCTGCTATTCCACAACATTGTTTAAGGTCTAATAATATTTAAAAAAAATCTGTGTTTTAAGGCTTTTGATATGCCAAATAGTTCAGATTCTCAAGAAGTACATTTCAAAAGAATTTCCAATTCTGCCCCAGTGTGAGTTCAACGAGTATATGTGGGTTGCAGGTTGCAATGGCAACTTCATTTACTGTTGTCTCTGCGGCCCACCACTTTGTCCTCCTCCGTTAACCCCACTCAATGTGAACACGAGTGATTTTAATCAAGACTTCTGTCGCTGTTCGTTTTACAATTTCAACCCGCTTCTGAAGCTCTGCCAGACATCTTGATTCCTGCAGATTGATGTCAAAACACAGGAGACAAATATGATCTCAAAACAATGAATACCAGGCCCAAACTTCTTCTTGAGAAGTTGTTTTAAATAAAGTATTAATATTAAAATCCTCTGTGACAGTGTCAGGGTAGTATTTAAGTGCTCTGACACTAACTCTGTATAACATTGTTGAATTGATTAAATGTTTTTTTGGGTCTGTCAAGTTATTTGATTAAATTCTACCTTGCAGCCAATCCCTGAAGTAGCCCAGCCACATGCGGGGCAGCTGTCCGTTGTCCTCCTTCAGCACGTAGCGCACAGTGTGGAACCTCTGGTGGAGCTGGTGCAGCAGAGGCTGCTTCTGGGCGTATTCGGCCCGCTGCGTCACCACGTACATGTTGTAGAAGGAGAAGAACTTGAACTGGGCGCCGATGAAGTCGTACTCGCTGGTTTCTCTGGGCACGATGTCGGTCAGCTCCAGGCCGTCCCTCACCTGGGTGGTCCCGTATAAACTGACTCCCAGCAGGCAGAGGAAGAGCACAATCACAACCACCTGGAGGGCAGAGATAGGACTTCATCAATCAACTCACTGTGCATTGGGATTCAAGTTCACACGCTTAAAAAAAAAAGAAGCAGGAAGCAAGACGTTTAAAAGTCACAACAACAGATTGATTAAAAAAAAGAACGAACACTGCAAACAGACCACAAAAAGCCTGATGATCTAACTTTGATGTTTCTTTCCTCGTTAGATTTTTGTTGCGGTGAAGTTGTGGGCCAATAATAAAAAAAACAAGATTCAGGTTGTAATAAAACAGAATAGTCCTGTTAGTCATCAGGCGAGTATTGGTTTAAGGAATCAGTGACAGAACATGAAGTAATCTGGTACACTGAGGAAACATTTTGTCAGTGTGATGACAAGACTTTCTAATAATATCAAGTACAGGCCACGAGATCATTTCAGTTCTGGGAGGCTTTCTGGAAGACAGGCCACCCACAGCACTGTGGTCAGACTGCGTGCGTGACTCAGATAGGACAGAACCACAACCTCCACCCCACATTTCCTCTTACACATTCACTTCAGTGACTAATCCTCCCTTTCAAATTATCACCACGGTGAGTAAGCGCAAACGTATTCCTTACCTCACACAGGAGCTTTTCCCCTTCTTTAATAAACTCTCTTCATGAATAACAGAAAGTATATTAAAAAAAAAAAAAAAAAAACTTTTCACACATGTACAACCAACACGGCCACATTTTTTTTTTTTTACATCCTGCCAGCCTCCTTGTAAAGTTTCCACAAGGTGAGATATTTTAACCCATGAAATGTCTAATATTCAAAATGTGTGTTTGTGTAGCCCCAGCTGTTTCTTGCTTTCACAACGCCATAAAGCAATGTGAAATCCCAGACTGGGACACCAATATTACGACTTTTGGAATCAATATGACAGTAAAAAGGCATAATGACGACAGAGCTTTGGTCCCGCCGCTGTTGGGGTGTCGCACTCTGAAAAGCTCTGTGACATCCGCAGCATCCTTTTATGAAGGTCATGCTCTGCCTCCTGAAACCAACCATTCCCATCCCACTGGGACATTTTCCCGCTGTGAGGGATGTGTGCGAGGGCAACTTTGGGAAATTTCAGTGTCTTTATTTGGTCAAGAGAACTTCAGGAATGCGTGTTTGAAAGAGGCTAAACTGACCTTGGTAGTGGGCTGCAGAAGGAACGGAGCGTAGTGTCTCTCAGCGAAAGATGCCAGTGTCCAGCGTGAACAGGGAGGCTCAAGGCAGCGCAGGCCCAGTGAGCCATCCCCAAACTGGGATATAAGGTCCCGTGTAGAGCTGTTATTCTCCGGGATCTGTCCTGTGGATGAGGCCACGTCACCCTGAGGAGCCGAGCTGGCATTTGGAGCAGCCGGAGCAGGAACAGGATGATGATGGGAGAACGTGTCCGAACCCCGTGATCCCCCATTGCTCCCCATTCTCCCGCTGTTGTTGTTGTTGAGATTGCCGTGGTTGCTGCCGCTGCTGCTCCTGCTCCCGCTTGCGTTGCTGCTGTAATAGTCGGCGTTCTGGTTGCTCCTGGCGGGAGCTGGGTTGATGGGCTGCACAGAGATCTGGGATCTGGGCTCGGCTGTGGTGTAGAAGGCCTGAGTGCGCGGGTCGTACTCGGTCCTGAGCTGCACCGTGGACTGCATGGTGATCTGGGTCTGCTGGGCAAAGCCGTGGCTGCTGTACGAGGGAGGGGGGCTGCTGTAGCTGGGCGGAGGCGTGCGGTAGGAGGGCGGAGGGGTGCGGTAGGAGGGCGGAGGGCTGTAGCGGCTTGAATCTGCCCCGTCCAGGTATGCGTGGGGCTCTATTTGGATCACACGGTTGGCACATGGGCTAAAGAGATGAATACACAGGAGGGAAAGTCAGAGAAATTATGGCATGTATCAGAGTTTGTGAATAGGTTAAGCATTTGACTCAAAATTCAAATACAAAAATGTATTTATGATTTATTTGGATTAGCTTGTAGATGAAATATGGTAAAGAACTCATTTTTCAAATAATTAACTTCTTTAAATCTATTCGGTTTTTGAATCTGATGTTATTTTGAATTCTTTCGATCTCTCTGCCAACAGAATGAAATATGGAGCCGAGGCCCGTCATGGGAATTTAATAGTGTGTGTGCACATCTGTATGATTGTCGTGCCAAGAAGCATGCCCAGACCAGCAGACAGACCGGCAAAGTTTAATAAAGACTGTGACAGATAAACAAAACAAAACATTTCAGTGAATCAACCGAGCAGCCAGAGGTAATCAGTAATTAGGTTTTGACTGGGGGGGGGAGGAGGGGAGATTACAGTAAAGATGTCCGGAAGATAAGCACGCATTGAAGATCGTCATTGTCAGATTAGAGAGAAACATGAAAGCTAAAAGAGTTATTGAACCGTCACTTTCATCAGAAATAAAAGAGCGTCTTTGTGTGATAACAGCGTTGTGTGTGCACACCTGTAGAAGCAGCAGAAAATGTCGAAACGTCGGTCTTCTCGTCGGTAGAGGTCCATGCTGAGGATGGCGGGGAAGATGAGCAGCACCATAGCAAAGTTGAACACCACCACTACTGCAGCCTGCGGCGACACACACGGAGAACATGACGTTATATATCGGGGGGGGGGGGGGGGGGGAATTGTTTGGGTGAGGTTTGAACTGACTTGTTTGAAACAATACAGAAGCAAAGGAAGAGACAGCAGATGGCTGTAAGTGTTGAAGCGTCTGTTTGGATAAAGTCTGAAGCAACAGGTGTTTCACAACAAGGTCGTAACAAAAGATTCAAATCCAGCGGAAACAAACAAAACAGATACAAATCAGACAAACTTCAAAAATGTGATTAAAACCAAAAAGTGTCCATATCAATATTTCTGCATCTCTATCAATGTCTTTCAAATGTAAAAATATTCCAAGGATGTCGTATGGCCTCAAAGAATGAACGTCTCTATAAACAAACAAATCTTAAAATAACACAATTAGAAATGTCTGCGCCAAGAAAAACTTTCCTTTCAGCACTTTCTTAATTTCCTCCAAAACAAAAACATAAAGTGTAAAGAGAAAAGTGACAGACAGACAGTGTGTGTGTGTGTGTGTGTGTGTGTGTGTGTCTGTGTGTGTGTGTGTGTCTGCGTATGTGTGAGTAATAGAAGCCAGTACAGTGTTGCGGTTAAGTATTTGAAGGTGCACTGCAGCAGAGGGTGGGGGTTGGGGTTAGGTTGGGGCCCTTCCCAGAGTACAATCTGGATCTTGCGTAGTTGCCAGACCACTACACACACACACACACACACACACACACACACACCCACACAGGCTCATTTATACACACAATCCAGTGTGTGTGCCAGACCACCCAAGGAGCCGGAGGCCCGCGGGGCCTGAGGTGATGAGCAGGCACTGCGGCTGTACAGACAACACACAAAAAAATGCACACACACACACACACACACACACACACACACACACACAAGTACGTATCCCCTGGCAGTTAAAAAAAAAACAACCTCTCCAGCCTCCTACTTAAACCACACCTTAACACCAACCAGACACACACACACACACACACACACACACATTGAACATCCTCGCCCTCCCTCATTCTTCAGCACAACACTCACTCAACAAGAGAGAAATAAAGTGAGAGAAGAAGAGACGCAGATTAGACAGAAACCTCTGAAAG